ATCATGCTAGAGAGCTGGGGATTTAAATGAGGAATCACTGAAAATTCTTTATGCATGAAAAAGACATATGATATTTCCAATTTAGAATGTAGACCCAAAACACAAATTGGGGATGTATGAAAAGATGGAAGTACAACAGGGTTGCTAATAGGAGGAACCTAGAGAGAAAATTTGTCAAAGTAGCATATGAGGAATTTAGAGTTAGAAAATGAGACAAAATTAAGAACCTTAGAATAGAATACCTAATCATTAATTTAATAATGAAGGAATGCAAAATGATTCTTAGATTTCTGCTTTGGGAAATTTGGAGTATGAAGGTTCTATTCACTGAGCAAAGCCAATAGGAATTTGGTGACAGGGTGGGAAAAATAATCTTGCTTATGGCTCTGGAGTAATAAAATTTGGTCTCCATATTAGTCAACTTTACTGTTGCAGGGACAGCACTTGATGTCCACAATTTTAAGGAGGAGAGGTTTGATTTAACTCACAGTTTCAGGGGATTCAGTCCATGGTTTTCTAGTCCCAAGGCAAGAGAACTTTAGTGGAAGGGCTTTACAGAGCAAAGATACTTATTTCATGATGGCTGGAGAGCAGAACAAGGGAATAACACTAGAAAGGAAGAGGCCAGGAACCCAATATAGACCCCAAGGTCAGGTCTCCATGACCCAGGAGGACTCACCCACAGGTGTGCTCCACTAGTCCCCTGGGAGGCTACCTAGACCATCAGTTTACACAAGTTTACACAATCAAGTTTTACTGTTATAGGTTGCAATTCCAGGTTGCCATTTACTAGCATGTGACACTGGGGAATTTATTTATTCTTTGATTTCTAAGTTTCCTCATATGTAAAACTTACATTAATTATATAGCTTACTGTGAGAATTAAATGAATTGATATCTTTCTCTACCAATAACTGCAACCCCTTCAAAGTCTGTATTTTTATTTCATTTACTGTGATAACCTGATGCCATTAACCTTGACTCCAATAATCCTTGATTGCCTTGCACTCTCCAGTGTATCGTTCCTAATATCTCTTCCTGTACCACATACTTTGTATCTTTGCATTCCTCATTTCCTAGGTTAAATTCTACTTCCAATTCTTATTATTGTTCCTGTGCATACATCCGCCTCACCTCTCAGCTTCTCTCTGTTCATCACGTGTTCTTTTGGGAAAAGAGCACAATCTCACTATGATTTAGCTATGGTCACTCTGCTCCTAGACCTGGAGTGCAACTGAAGAAACAGAACTGAATGTAACCAGAGCAATCAACTTATCCAAGCTTATTGGTCTCTTTTCAAAATAACTTATTATTAACTAAAACTGGCGGGGCTTTATTCCTTGGCAAACATTTAGTTGCCTCCTTTTGATGTGATTGCTGTAAAACTTCTTGCCAGTTCTCAAACTCCTTATAAGACTTACATTATCCTCACTCTCAGCCAACGATTCGACTCTCCATCTCACTGAGAAAATGTATGTGTTTTACCTTTTCCCCCATTGTTGTGTGCTCACAAAACAGTTAGAATAGTGTTTTCAAATACAAATCAATCATTTCCTCTTTTATCAAAATCCTCTAAAAGCTTCCTACTGAATTCAGAGTAAAAATTTAATGTCTCACAATAGGCTATATTGCTTTGTGCAATGTGAAAATCTTGTGGCATCTTAGACTGTCTTTTCAGGATATCCCCCCTACATATTCAGGTCCAGCCACTAATCTCAATGACCCTCAAGACTGTCAGGCGCCTCCTGTCTCAGAGTCTAAGTCCTAGCTGGCTGTTTCTGTCTGCGAAGCTTTGTCACTAGAGAGTCACATGGTGACTCTTTCAAACCCCCAGTTCTTCACACAACTATCTCTTCAGTGAACTCTACTGATTGCCTTTTATAAGTCCCAGCATTTCTTCTTTTTATCTGCTTTAATTTAAAATAGAAACAGTAATTCTACTATATATAATATATATATAATATATATTATATATATATACATGTACAGATAACATTTAGATATTACTTTTTAAAAATAAGAGGCCATTACTTTGGCTTGAGTTCCTACACAAGACCCCACAGAGAAGACCGAATCAAAATGGAGTTACTCCTCTTAAATGCCACACAACCTAGCAAGTAAATCCCAGAACAGATCCTCTTACTTGAAAAGAAGAGATTCTAGTCTACCTGTGTCCATAAATTAAAGATGTTCCTTCCAATACACTACTTGTAATAGTTACTTTAAAAGTAACTTGGTATTGCTAATGAACCAATCATCTTTTAGTTTTGTATTCTGTTTTCTTGTTCCAGTCTTATAAAATCTGCAGTTCTGCTGTTGCCCATTTGAAGCTCTCATGACAATGTGTACCATAAAGGCATCCTAGATTCACGAATAACAATAAACTCCAATTAGATCTAAAGCTAAACTTGTGATTTTATCCTTTGACAATATGTATATAAAAGTGAAATAATTACCACAAATTGGCATATTCCATTCCATACAAAGTTAACTCCTGCCTGTATGTGTGTGTATATGTGTGCATGTGTGGGTATACGCCAGCCTGTGTGTGCAATCACAGCACCTGATATCTAGTCTGGCAAATGGCCAGTATTATCAACTACGGTAATCATCCTATGTTCCTGTATGTTAGACCTTTGGACTTACTCATCCTACATAAGTGCAACTTTGTACCCTTTGACCCGCATCTCACCCCTCCACTTTTCCAACTTTTGTTAACCTCCACTATAGTCTTTGTTTCTATGTTTTTCGAAATAAGAAGGTACTAAATAATGTATTTATTTGTATTATTTATTGTCTATTTCTCCCCATTTGGGGAAAGAAAACTCTACAAAGGCAAAAATTTGTTTTTGCCTCTTACTGTTTTCTTCCCATCCATAATATTGTGTGGCAAATACTAAGCACTCAATAAATATTTATTAAATTAATTAATTAATACTTTTGGCATAATTCTTGGGAAAATGTATGTGGTCAGTGAATAAGAGCTATGATTATTACATTACCTAATAGTACTGTATTGGGCACGGTGCACTTAAAACAAGGTGGGACAGGGCTGGGGATTTAGTTCAGTGGTTCTGCCTGCCTCGCAAGCTCAAGGTCCCGCGTTCAATCCCCAGCACCAAAAAAACAAGAAAACAAGATGGGACAATCTATGTTGCAGCTTGTACATTTGAGATTCAGAATAAAACCTCCATCTGAATATAAATTAACAGATAATAAAATCAACTAAACAAATCAGATCCCATTAGGAAGAACATTAAGTGTGTAAACCTATAACACAGGAAGGTAGAACACAGGGAAGCAAAAACATAGGCAGGCTGACATTGAGCCCAGGAAAGATACTGGGGGAAATATCCAGTGAAGCAGAAAAAGGACTGGCAGAGTGTGGTATCATGGAAGCCAATGACAGGTAGACATTTGGGAGGAAAGAAATGATCCATGGGAGTCAAATGCTTCAGAGTGGAGAATACCACTAAAGAGCAAACTGGCAATGTTGAGATACAAATCTTGATTAACACCACAGAAATTTTTAATGATTAAAAATAAATCTTCAGGTTCACAAGTGTCTAAAACCAGCACCGTATGGTTTTGAAAGGCTGTTAGAAGACTGTTCAAATGACACATTTTCACCTTTGATTCTCTCAAAGAAAGAAACAATAGGAGAACAAGAAGAATCCATCTCATGTCTGGCTACATGGCCAGAGATTGCCAAAAGGGATTGATTTTTCCAGTAAATGAGATGTGAGCAAGCAGCTGGGTAGAGGACGACATAATAAAATTTTTCAAAAGTTAAAATGTGAGTCAAGGATGCATCTAAACCAGTAAAATTACTATATTTAAAGAGATGAATAAAATACTGTAAAAATTCTGGAATCCCTCTTTGTCTAGGCCAATGCTTTAAATGAATAAAAATGATACCAAGTTAACTGAAAATATAAAGAAATTTTATATGACTCGTATTAGTTTTAGTTAATTTCATTTATTTAAGATTGCCTAATAAATCTTGGATGAAGAAAGGAAATTTAATATTAGGTATTGGTATCCTCAGCAATATGGATCATGTTCTTTCCTTCTGTTTATGTGGTTTGAGAAAATGAAGAGCTCTTAATAATTTTTAAACAAAGGCATTTAAAAGTATAACCAGTATTTTACAGATAATTACAAGATGAATCATAAGTGGGTGCAAATTGAGTAATTTGATTAATTTCTAGGTTGACCTTTACAAAAGTATTTATCTAACATTTCTTAGTTCTTATATTGTTATTATAACAAACCAAAGTTCCAGCCCTAAAATTTCCGTGCTGTTTTAAAGAATAAGAAGTGTGGGATGAGTATAAAAGAGTTTGTTTTGTAATTTTCATTTTAGAAACAGTTTGAATTTTGAAAATGAATATTTTCTTTGAATAGACCTGCTCCTCTTCCTATTGAGGATTGTGCTTTACAAAGTTACTTCCCTCATGTATATTCACTTCTGCATTTATTGAACTGAGTAATTATTTTGCACCTAGTTAAATTTATTGTTCAATAATTTTTGTTTAAAAATACCTAATGACAGTTCATAACTTTGTTCAAGGTTTGTGTCGTCAGTTTTGGTGCCCTCAGACCTAAAGGAGAGACCTCAACATTGCAGATATATAATGTGCATCCCCAGCACAATTGCCCATAAGAATAACTTCATTATTCTGGGAAGCTAGATCTATAAAGTATGTAGACTGCAGAACTGTTCTGCCTATACAATTTCTGGTAAGTACTGCATGACTAAGTGATAAAACCTGAGTCAGCTTCAGTGCAAGCATACCTTACTAAAAAGTGTGCTGTGAAATGAGGGATAAAGGAAGTACAGTGAGCAAAGTTGTTCTCCTCTGAAGCAATGAGGTATTTTAGATCAGCATAGCTCTGCCTTGATTAATGAAAATTAGCCCAAGAAGAACTTAGTGGTGCAGTGTACCAATTATTCATAGTATCCCCAAGTTATACCAGAATGATACAGAAAAACTCACCAGTACCACTGGACAGATTGTTGTGGGTGGTAAAATATGGTCTTTCAGAGGTCCACAGTCACATTCAGGTTTTAGATGAGAAGCACATTTATTGTGCAGCTGGAAATGGAGGAACAGGGATAGTATTAAATTCTACACAATGAGAGCAAACACGGCACAGATTATATTTCACCTGAGATACAGCAAATACACTAAAAGTACATTTAAAAATTACAAGAGCAAATAAATGGAAACAAAAGGGATTCACAATACACTTGCTCTCATATATTTACCCAAAATAATGAAGCAACTTTCATGACTCAGCCTATAGATTTTCTAATTCTCAGAAAATTTTACATTAAAACTGTGCTTTAAGTTTCACATCAAAGAAGCCTAATTTCTTTGACAAATCTAAATTATCAGCCATTACAGTCCTTCCTTTGCTTATTTGTTAGCATAATCTTGAATCCTCTGTACACTGTGGATGCTTTTTTTTTTTGACCCTCCTGTTTTCTCAAAGTCATTCCAAAGTGCACGGCTCAGTATGGGGCATAATTGATCCCATCATTAGTTTTAACTTTGTAATTCAATATGTAAATGTAACCAGAGATTAATCTCAGTAGGAGCAGGATATAAATAAAAGACAATGATTATGATTATAAAAATTTAACTTTATATCGTATTTATAAGCCCAACATTATTTTAGTGTGTAACTATATGATGCATATTTATTTTCCAATATGTATGACCCCAAACCAAGATTTTTTCCAACCTTGTTCATAAATTTAAATGAAGATATTATGTTATAATAAATACTGATGTTTTTATTTATTTTTAATTTTATTGTTGTTGTTTCTGAGACAAGATCTTACTGTGTGGTTTAGGCTGACCTCAAACCCACTATGTAGCCCAGGATGGCCTCAAACTTGTAGTGATTCTCCTGCCTCAGCTTGGAGAGTGCTAGGAATACAGGTGTGTATCACCATGCCTGGCTAAATACAGTGGACCCTTAATTTATGAACCCAATAAGTTCCCAAGGGAGGTTGTAAGTCAAGTTGGTTGTAATACAATACAGCTGAGATCTGGATGTTTTCCCCGATGCAAGCTATAGATAACAAGAGACAGAGATGAATCTTCCATTGACCTAATTAACCCAAGTTGTTCATATGTTAGGCCAGTCATAACTTGAGGGTCCACTGTACTGTTTTTTTTTAATTAAAGATGTTAGTTTTTATGGGATAACACAGTTAGTAAAATTATGCTTCCTTAAAATAATCTAGGAAATTCTCCCTTCTTCACCCAACATCAACTGAACATCAAATACTCTACTTTAGAAAAATTATGCATTTTAATTGGATAGCATGTCATGTTCAAAACACTAAAGAGACACAGCTTTTTGTAGTTTTGCACTGAGGGCTACTCCATTTAAGACTTGGCTATATTAAATCACCTTTGGAAGGAGTTAATTAGCAGATAATCTTAAGAGACTTGTGAGTGCTGATTTATTATTGACAATGAATGTCACTGAAGGGGTATTTCCTTGGTCCTAGAATTCATTTGTCTCAATAAGTCCCAGCCTCAGAGTTGAGGCCATTTGTACCATAATTAGTGCACATTCAGATGCATTGCATGAAACAAAAGTATCTTTGCACGTTTATCCATAATTAACACCTCTGCTTTACAACGGTATTTAAACTTCTCTGTAAAAAATATATTTTGAGTCTTTTTATTACGCTCTACTGGTCCTAGTCAAGAGAAAAGAATTGTTGAAGATACAGAAGCATTTGAATCCTCATGCACAATAGAACAAAATAAACTTACACTCTGAATGTGTGAATGAAAATGTATGATTTCCTTTAAGATAGCTTAAATATATCATTAGTGTATTGGACTTACTAATTGTCATAAATAATTCATGGCCCCAGATATAGATATTTGGGTTCACAGGTAATAGTTTATTCAGTTCTGTGGAGTGAATCCATGTACCCCCAAAAGATGTGTCCAAGTCCTGACTCCTGGTACCTATGAAAGTGAATTTTTTTTGGAAATACTCTTTGTAGATGTATTCAAGCTAAGATGCAATTATGCTTGATTAGGCCTAGACCTAATCCAATGACTGACTAATATCTGTAAAAGAAGAGAGAAATCTGAACAGAAAGTTACAGACACTGAGGCAACAAGGGCACATGACTGCTGTAGTACAGATTTGAGTGACATGGCTAAAAGCCAGGGAAAGCCAATGATTTCTGGCAACTAGCTGAAACCAGGCAGAGGCAAAGAAGTCCTCCCTAGTCCTTCAGAGGCAGTACTGTCTTCCTGACAGTTTTGTTTTAGAATTGTATCCTCTAGAACTATGAGAGAATACATTTCTATTGCTTAAAACCACTTACTTTGTGGCATTTTGGAATAGCAGCCCTGGGAGATTAATACCCAAAGCATCATGAACAGAGAACCACAACCAAAGGCAGCATCTGGGACTTAAAGCTCTCCTATGCCATGGTTGTCACAGAGAGGAAGCTTGAGCTCTTTGACTTCCACTCAAAGCCTCTAAAAATGAAAACTCAGATTCTGAGTCCCCTCAACAAACAGCACAATCCAAGGTAACAATGTCTGCGTGTGGAATGGCAAAGGGTCGAATTTTCATTCTTGACAGCACACTGAGCTGCGCTGGTGAAGCTCAGGGGAGGGAATCTCAGAGCATCACGGAGGCCGCTCACCGCTACAGTCTGCAAGCCTCAGCGTAAATCAATGCCTCCATCCCCGAGTTTCCAACAGGGATACCGAGTTAACTTGAAGACTTTGGCATTGAGGATCAGAAAGAAGAACTAAGGACTCAGAATCATGCCGTTGAGGAGGTGACCAGAGTGTGAGTGAAGGTCAGCACATTGGGGTTTGAGAGTCTCAGAGGGTAGAAGCTGGCAGTTGGTCCCAGGAAATACTGGCCTCTGTAGGGATGAAGGAAGCCCATACAGACTTCTTCAGTGTGACCCCCTCAGTGGCCCATGTCCCTGAGTTCCGGGTGGACACAGTGGTACAGAAGTGCCAACACAAAGCAGGGTCGGTAATGTCAGAACCCATACTGTCATCAGTAAAACACAGTGCAAATGTATTTTCCTAACAAGTCTGTACTAAGTCCTGTACTATGCAGGACAGCCTCGTGCTTTTGTTAGGAATGGAATCTGGCAGCGGTATATATATATACCAATAGCCACCAACTTCACAAAATTGCTTGTCATGGGAAACTCAGAATTGAGGGCATCTTGTTAGATGTACTGATCATTTTATAAACTGTGAACTAAGACTGTATGGCAGGTTTAATTTATATGCCAAATTGTTCAGACATACTTGACAAAATATATAAGAAAGCCAAAGAGGTAATCCCAGCATTCTGGAAGACTGAGGCAGTAGGGTTGCACATTCAAGCCTAGGCTGGAAAACTTAGTGACTTCGCAAAAGTAAAAAGTGATAAAAAGAGAGCTAGGGAGACAGCTCAGTGTGAAGGCCTCAAGTTCAATCCCTGGTAATGAAAAAAACCAATGAGAAAAGCTGTATATTGTAGGGTTACTGTTCAAACATAAAAGTATCATTTTTGCTGTCAACCTAAAAGTTCTCTAAAATAAAAAGTGTATTTAAAGAATAAATATTAACAAAAGAGAAAACATATAGTCGAATTCAAAAACAAAATAATTTTAAAGGCTGATGGAAATATTGTTTTCTGACCAAATACTGTTTACATGGTATGTTCATTTGGACAAAATCACTAAGCTTTATTTTTTAAATATAGATGCTTTTCTATGTGTCCATTATTATTTGTTAAAAAGTCAAAAGAGGAACAGAAGAGAATATCATCAACAATAGCAGATGGTGCTATGAGTTGAATGTGTTCTTCAAAACTTCATGTGGTAGAAATTCATACGTTAATAGTTTTTGGAGGCAGGGCCTACGGGAAGAATTTAGGGTTAGATGAGATCCTGATGGTGAGAATCCATGGTGAAATTAGGGGCTTTTTAATAGAGAAAGGGAAACACAAGCCTGGACAACTCCTCTGGCTTGCTGAGCAGTACCTTCTGCCACACTGTGACACAGCAAGAAGGCCTTCTCCTGATGTGTCCTCTGGACCTTGGGCTTTTCAGCCTCCATATTAAAAGAAATGAATTTGTTTTCTTTGTAAATTATCTAGGCTGCAGTATTGTGTTCCAGCAACAGAAAACATACCAAGATGGCTTGTTCAAATGTAATTTCACAGGTGAGAACAGAAGAAAGAAACACAGCTGAGTCCTTCCCAGTGTGGAAGAGATGATAAAGATTGATGCTTATCTGCCTGTTAACCCAGACTCTAAGTCAGTAAAGGACTAAACACAAAAGTCCCCGTCAAGAATAGAAATAAAGCAGGACATTGATGAATCCTGCTTCGTGAGTAAAATAAGCAGAATGGACCACAGAAAAGGAATTGCTACCCGTTTTTTAAATTTAAAAAATGTTCACAACTTTCTTTCGATTTTAAAGATAAGACAGAAATATTCAGATCATTATTTTTATATGTCCAGAAATAGCAATTCTTGTTAAGAAATTTAGCCCTATCAGTCCTATAATATGAAACAGCTTTCACTGCAAATGAATAAACACTTGGAAATAATTTCAAAGTATATGACAGTAACACCTAATTTAGAGCCAGATCAATGTTTATTGGAAAAATCTGTCTTGAATTTGGAAGAAAAAGAAGTGTGTGTGTGTGTGTGTGTGTGTGTGTGTGTGTTCATGGAGAAGACTTGAGAAAAGAGTAATGTATAGAACAGAAGAAAATAGGAGAACCTAAAGAGTTAAAAAGAGAAAAAATAGGTAATTTTTCATGAAAATTTAGATATTAATGAAGAGAAAGAAATCATTCTTATCATGAAATACTCAGTCATCTGATTTGGAGAAATATATTTGTTAGTTGCTACTTTCCTTTGGCTCTAATGTTTTGCATACATAGGTACAGGATGCTACCTTAATACTGTTATTTTGTAAAAGTAAAACTTTCTATAGGTTTGTGGATTTTTAAACATTATTGCTAGAACTTTCATATTTTAATAAAACAAGTATCTTTATATGATACAAAATGTTAATAATTAATACTT